CTGGTCTCTGGAGGAAATCTTTGCACAGTGTACAACTGGCTTCATGTCTGTGCAACATCACTGTTCTCTGTTTAAAAGCTCTGGTCTCTGCATAATAGACTTGGTCTCTGTAAAATTGGCCGAGTCTCTGCATACCAGGCCTGGTCTCTTTATAATAGGCATAGCCTATGTATAACTGGCCTGATCTCTGTATAACAACCTCGTATATGTATATCGGCTTGGTTTTTGTAAATATGTGCTGGTCTCGTATAACAGATCTGGTCTCTGTATAACCGGCCTGGCCTCAGTAAAACTGGCCTTGGCTCTGTTAACAAACCTGGTTTCTTAGAACAGCACTGGTCTCCTTTTAACAGGCCTCGTATTTGTATCACAGCTTGAAGTCTGTATAATGGGCCTGGTCTCTGTATAACAGATCTGGTCTCTTTTAATAGGCCAGGTCTCGCTATAAACTTCTGAACAAGGCGCGTGGAGCAGAAACTTTGACTCACTTTCGTTTCTCCATAGATGCTGCCTCACCTGCTGAGTTTTCCCAGCTTCTCTGTTTTTATTTCAGATTTCAGCATTGCAGTATTTTGTGTTTTGCTCGCTATAACTTCTTGGTCTATATACAAGAGGCCTGATCTCTATGTAACAGCCTGTTCTCTGTATAACAAGTCTTATCTCTGCAAAGCTCCCTGGTCTCTGTATGAAATGACTGATTCCTGTATAAATTGTGTAGTTTCTGTGTAACTGGTCTGGTCTCTTTATAGCAATTCTGGACTCTGTACGGTCTCTGTATAACTAAACTCAACTGTTATAAAGAGCCCTGGTCAGTTATACAGAATCCAAGCTGTTATAAAGAAACCAGGCCTGTTATACAGAGACTAGACCTGTTATACAGAGAACAGACCAGTTATAAACAGACCAGGCCCGTTATGCAGAGATCAAACCTGTTATGCAGACCAATGGTGAGTTATATAAAGACCAGGCATTAATACAGTGATAAGGCCAGTTACATAGAGACCAGCCTAGTTGCTCAAAGAACAGGTTTGTCCTTCATTCAAGACACCTCCATGGTCTTATTCCCCCCTACTTCTTCGACTTCATAAAAGCACATCAGAAAGTCTGCTCCCTCCACTCGCAGACACCGGCCTGTTTTAGTTCACCTGCAATTCCTGCCCCACCTTTGGAGGTCAGACATTCAGCATCTCTGTCCCACACTCTACAACTCTACCCGCATTTCCTCTGCCTCACATCCTTCAAGTCCCGCCTGAAGGTCTTTTTCGTCGACCATGCCTTCAATTTCAAAAGCCCTCATTGCCTTACACGGCCCTTCGTCCGCCATCTCCTTCAACACAACTGACCCGTCTACAACATTCACTCAAAAAACGCCGGCAGCTTCATATCACCCCCAACCCAACCCAATATCCGCCTCACCGTGTGAGATTTCAGCCATTGTACACCCCGCGCTCCGGAAAACCATCTCAGAGATATTAGGTCTGTCTCAGAGCCTCAAACTAATCCAATTGATGGCGCTTTTTGTCATACTCCCACCCATTCCCCCCATCCCCACCCCAACATGCACACCACGCTTCCACACAGTCCAAAGCCTTCCTTGCTCGGGTGTCCTTGTCACTGTACAAGGCTCTCTCATCTTCTCTTGGGATCAAAGTCACATTAAGCTGATTTCACAAGAGGGACTGAGGATTTGGCAGCTCAGTGACTGGGATCCGCCTACACTCTCACACCGAAACCGAAACCAGTTTCAATCAGGAAGTGCTGAGGTACAAAATGGCTTCTGGACTCCAGGCTGAGATCTGGACCGAAGAGATCATTTGCCCGGTTTGTCTGGATTTCTTCACTGATCCTGTTAGCCTGGGTTGTGGCCACAACTTCTGTCGCTCCTGTGTCACCCGGAGCTGGGAAAAGCAGGAGATCAACTGCTGTGCTGTTTGTCAGGAGACATTTCCAGAAAAGAACCTCACAGCCAGTTGGGCCTTGGCGAGTCTAGCAGAGAAAGCACGAAAATTGGGCCTGACCCCGACACAGACGGAAAGTAAACTTCACTGTGACAAACACCGGGAGGAACTGAAGCTGTTCTGTGAATCTGACAAGAAACTGCTGTGTGTAGTTTGCAGTCATGGGCAGGAACACAGAGGCCACAGCTTCCTACCCATTGAGGAAGCTGCTGACATCTTTAAGGTAAGAATACACCTCAAGAAGGATTATATCTGATCCACCTGATATTTTCGCCTTCAAACACGTTAATTCTGTGTATTTATTACAGGATAAATTGAAATCCTCCTTAGCTTCTCTCACACAGAGAAAGGAAACAGCTTTAGAAGCAGAAGCCAAACAGAAAGAAAAGATTTCTCAACTGAAGGTGAGATTTCCGTATTGATGTCTCAGTGTCTATGGTTACTGTGTGTACACGGTGTGATGTCTCAGTGTCTCTGGTTACTGTGTGTAAACGGTGTGATGTCTCAGTGTCTCTGGTCAATGTGTCTACACGGTGTGATGTCTCAGTGTCTCTGGTCAATGTGTCTACACGGTGTGATGTCTCAGTGCCTCTGGTTACTGTGTGTACACGGTGTGTTGTCTCAGTGTCTATGGTTACTGTGTGTACAGAATGTGATGTCTCAGTGTCTCTGGTTAGTCTGTGTACACGGTGTAATGTCTCAGTGACACGGGTTAGTGTGCGTACACGGTGTGATGTCTCAGTGCCTCTGGTTACTGTGTACACGGTGTGAAGTCTCAGCGTCTCTGGTTACTGTGTGTGCACGGTGTGATGTCTCGGTGTCTCTGGTCAATGTGTGTACACGGTGTGATATCTCAGTGTCACTGGTCACTGCTTGTAGACGGTGTGATGTCTCAGTGTCTCTGGTTACTGTGTGTACACGGTGTGATGTCTCAGTGTCACTGGTCACTGTTTGTAGACGGTGTGATGTCTCAGTGTCTCTGGTTACAGTGGGTAATGTTTGGATGTCTGATATTTTCAGGAACAGGTGAACAGTCTGCAGACCCACGTCACGGGTGAGTTTGCTAAAATGCACCAGAGTCTGACTGACAGAGAGCAGCGAGTGATGGGGGATCTCAGACAGCGAGAGGAGGAGATTCTAAAGAGAATGGAGACAAATCTGCGAGAGATTCAGTGCAAATTAGATTCTGTTGAACAACAACTCTCCGAGTTAACGGCACAGCTGGGAAAAGACGCTCCCACCTTCCTGCAGGTAAAGAGATGACATTATGATATAGTTCAGTAACGGTTATACACAGTCGGGAGCAGACAAACTAATTGTGTTTGATAAAGAGATCAGAGATTGTATTGGGACGTGAGATACTCTGCGCACATTTAACTTGTCTGTGTTGGTGTCTCGATTTGAACTGACATCTGTCTGTGTTTGATTTCATTAGGAGGAAGCTGCTGCCAACAGAAGGTATGAAATGATCTTTAACAAATATCCCACAATTCAACCCATAAACCAACCACAAGGTGCAGTTTCACTTTATACTGTGATCGTGTCTTATTTCAGGGTCAGTGACGAGGTGTTTGATCTGTCAGTGTGTGAGGATGACCTTCCTGTGTCCAAGTACAAATGGCCTTTGAAGAACACCGTCTGGAGACAGATTATAGACAACATCAGCCCAGGTACATGTCTTCCATTCTCACCCTGAATCCGTGTCAATAGACTTGTATTCACCTGAATCCCAACACATACCCTCCACACACTCCCTCACACATACACATACCGACTCCTCACTCACATATGCACATAATCGCAACACCCTCACACACACACACAACTCACACACACACGCTTTGCACACACACATCACACACACACACAACTCTCACACACAACTCTCTCTCACACCTCACACACATCTGAAACATACACCCCTCACAGCACTCCTCAAACACAGCCCTCACACACACCACTCACACACCTCACAGACACCTCATCAACACCTATCGTAGACACACGTGTTCATGCCTCACACACTCACCTCTTACACACACCTGAAAGAATACACAACACACTCATATCTGACACACAAACCTCAGAATACTAGTAACGCACAAAACTCGCACAGAACGCTCACACACATCTCACACAAACCAAACATAAACTCTTTAACCACACCTGACACACACCCCTCAAACACACAACTCTCACATACGCGCTGCTTACGTTACACAGCTCTCTCTCACACCTCTTACAAACATCCCCTCACACACGCCTCACCCACAAACACACCTCATACACACACACACATCTCACATACGTCTATTACAGACTTAACCCTGAAACACACGTCACTCACACATTCACACCCTCTCACGCACAGCCTCGCGCACACCTTCACACACACAGTCACGCACACACGCACACAAAATAATTAACCTCACACAACCACTCACACAGCCCCTCACACACAGCCTCAAACAGACCGTCATAAAGACCCTCACATACACGCTCCCACACTCCCTCACGCCCACGTTCACACACACCCTCAAACACAACATCTCACACCCCCTCATACACACATCCTGTATGTGGAGTCCTGAAGCTCAGTGTTTAGAGCACTCGCCTTGCAAGCGAGACACATGGGTTCAATCTCAGGCAGGGTGAATCCTTGGGCAAGTTTCCTTACTCCACACAACTGATAAGAATCCCTCCAAAAAAGAAAAACAATACTAAATTGGTCATTTTAAATCCACGGCTGTTTGTGGGTCGCTGCTGTGCGCAATTCGCTGGCGCGTTTTGACCACAAATGTTCGGTCAATTCACTTCATATTATATTCTGTGAAGCGCTTAGAGACGTCGAAAAACACTGAAAAGCACCATATGAAATGCAAGGATTATTATTATTATTATTATTAATATTATTACCCTGTCATACACACACACCCCCACACACCCACTCATAACTCTCACACACCTTCCCTCCTCACACAGATCCTCGTACAGACCCTCACATGCACGCTCACACAAACACTCACCTATCCCCTCACACAAAAACCCTTACAAAACTCTCACACTCAGGCACCACCCGCTCACACACAAACCCTCACACACACCCTCACACCCAACAACTCACACGCATCGTCAAACACACCCTCACACACATCAGCACACTACACCTCTCACAACCGCTCACACAAACCCTTACACACACCACTCACATGCAACCTCACAAACCTCACACATCCCTCAAACACACCCATCAAACACAACCGTCGCATACCCCCTAACACACATCCTCACACGTACCCTCACACATCCTCACATAACACCTCTCTCATTCCCTCAAACACACACACAATCCTCTCACACAGCCCCCCCACACACAGTCACACCCACCCTCACACCAACCTTCACACATCCCCTCTCACATCCTCTCACACACAACTTCACACATACATTCACTCTCACACACCCTCAGAGGTGTGTACCCCTCACACGCACCCTCACACACACCCTCTCACACACTCACATGCAGCTCTCACGCAAACCCCTCACATACATCCTGATACACACCCTCACACACACGCTCACACGCACGCCTCCAAAACACACTCACAGACACACCTCACACACAACCTCACACGTAGCTTGACACACACCCTCATACAATCCCTCTCACTCCACCTCAGACACTCACGCGCACATACGCCCTCAGGGACCACCTCACACAAACCATCACAAAAACCCTCCCACACGTCTTCACATAACCATTCACACACAAACCCTCACACACATCCCCACACAGACCCTCACAAACCACTCTCACACGCCCACACACACAGCCTCACAAACCCTCAAACAGACACTCAGACAAACCCCTCACACCCACACCTCACAAACCCTCAAAACACCCCTTCGCACACACACTCACACACAATCACACACGTCCTCACATTCCCCTCACACATCCCCTCACACAGATCATGACACAATCTCTCAAACAAACACTCACACACACCACCACACGCAACTCTCACACACAGATTCCCACCTAACCGATCACACACACCCTCACAAACAACCTTGCACACACCGTCGCACACACTCACATCCTCAAACACACACCCTCACAAACACCCTCAAACACCCTGCTGACACGCTCACCCTTACACATCCACTAACACACACACCCTCACAATTATTCGCACACACATCCACTCACACACACCCTCGCACAGAAACTCACACATTCCCTCACACAGCCTCCCACACACACCTTCATAATACCGCTCACACACCCTCCCCAACAAACACCCTCACACAAACCCTCACACACACTCACACACACCGTCACACCGACTGTGACCCTCTGAGCTGGATTGTGTCCCCAGCTTTAGATGTGTTCACACACAGTCTGAGCTCCAGACGTCCCCTCACTCCACTTTGTGTTGTTTCTCTCTCTCAGCTCCGGCCTCTCTGACTCTGGATCCTGACACAGCTCATCCCAACCTCATCCTGTCTGAGGACCTGACCAGCGTGAGACCCGGAGACACACGGCAGCAGCTCCCGGACTCCCCGAAGAGGTTTGATCCCTGTGTCTGTGTCCTGGGGTCTGAGGGCTTCACATCAGGGAGACATTACTGGGAGGTGCAGGTGGCCAACAAGACTGAGTGGGATGTGGGATTGGCCCGAGAGTCTGTCAACAGGAAAGGAGAGATCACACTGTCACCAGAGGATGGATTCTGGGCTGTGATACTGAGAAACGGGGATGAATATAAAGCTGGTACATCACCTGCCACCCGCCTGCCCCTGAGAGAGAGACCCGGGAAGGTGGGAGTGTTCCTGGACTATGAGGGGGGAGAGGTGACATTTTACAACGCTGATAACATGTCTCATCTCCACACTTTCACCCAGACTTTCACTGAGAAACTTTATCCGTACTTCAGTCCCGGTTTGAACGACGGCGGCAAAAACTCTGACCCTCTGAGGATCTGCCGAGTGACAGATTAATGAGAAGGAAATCCTCAGCCATGACCTGTGTTTGGCTGTGATGGCCACGAGGCTGAACCTTTTATAATCTGTGTCCTTATACAATAAACCGTGTAGTTTATATGACACCTTTCACACTGGGACCGCGGCTCAATCCTTTCTCGGAATCGACTGCGAAGCGACGGTTGTGTTTGTGAGCGAATATAGAGCTAATTTGCGCAGAGAAAAGTCTAAAGTAAGTCAACTATGACATAATGAACATCAGTCTGGAGCTTTCAGCTCCTGATCTCGACAATAATAATCCCCACATTGTACACAGCTCCTCTTGACTTCTGCCAGACGTCTCAATGCCTATCCCAGGCTTTATAAATCTGCGTTAATCCCAATGATACCCATGGGGTTTATCATTGGCTTTCTGTTTAAATAATAAAGCGCTCTCTGTGTACAACACGGGAAACGGTTTTAAAAGCCCCCATTTCCGCGGTGTTTCAAGTGCAATAGTTTAATAAACCCCAATGTTTCCGTTAATCACAATGATATAAATACGGTTTTGCGTTAACTTTGGGTTTTGATTGCAATCCCACAGCCGAGGACAAACACGGGAAACGGGTGTAAATTCCCCTCAGATCATCGGGGTTTAAAGTGCATCAGTGCAAAATATTCCCAATTCTGCATTAATCCCAAATATATAAACCGCTTTTTGCATTAACTCTCTCCCTCTCTCTCACACTCACTCTCACTTTCTAACTTTCTCTCTGTCAATCAGCCGCTGTAGGCTTTGCTACAAACTGGAGACAAATAGGGGCGGGGCCAGGGTTAGGGGCGTGGCCTGAGCTGGGGGCGGGGCTGGGTTCGGTCACGGGGCCAGAGCAGGATTTTGATCTGTTGACCATATTTGGGTTTTAAAGGGAGGCCGTCACTGTCTTAAAGGGGAGACGAGGTTTAATGGGGTTATAGCCCTTTTTATAATAATAATAGTAATCCTTTTATTTGACCCGAGTGTCATCACGTCTTCGGAACGTCTCAAAGCGCTTCACAGTATATACCGTATACTATCTCTGTAACAGGTCCTGTAGTTTAGGGATTAGAGCCCTCGCCTCGCAAGCCAGCGACAGGGGGTCAATCCCCAATTGGGGGCGAAACCTTGTGCAAGTTTCCTCTCTACGCACAGACACACCAAGACACGCGCACACGGGCACACACAAAGATACACCACGATACACATACCGTCAGAGACACTCACACACAGATGCACAAACACACAGACACATAGACACAGAGGGACACACAGACATGCACAGACACACACACACACACACACATACACAGCCCGGGACGGGCAGAGATCGCATTGTCGACCCGAGTGTCCATCAAACAAGATTGACTTGATTCCCACATTGTTTGCCAAGCTCCAGATCAGCTCGAGAGAGACCCTGTTCACTCCCGTAACGGAGTAGAAGGGATTGTTTTTACTAAACAGGCGCTTTGAGGCGCCTGTGAGACTCTCACAGCGCAATATCGAATGACAAGTTTATTACTATTATTATTATGTTTCATGAGAATACTGTGGGTAGTTACAAAGCGCAGCACTGCACTCTGGTGGCAGTGAAGTGGTGCTGCAGGGTTTTGCGAGTGGCAGGAAGAAGATTTCACTCTGTAATAATAATAGTAAAAATAATAATAATGCTTACATTTGATCCAGTGCCTTATCACATCTTCTAGACGTCTCAAAGCGCTTTACAGAATATACCGTAAAGTGATTTGACTGTCTGTATGTGGATTAAACGCGGCAGCCAATTGCGTACAGCAGCGACCCACAAACAGTCATGGATTGAGTGATCAAATTCTCTTTTTTTTTTCTTGATGGATCATTATTTAGCATTTATATACCCAACCGCTCCCAGTGTCTCTCCTGTATACACACAGCCACTCCCAGTGTCTCTCCTGTATACACACAGACTCTCTGTGGGCCTTTTCTGTACAAACATCCTCTTCCAGTGCCTCCGGTTGTATACACACAACCTCTCCCAGGGTCTCTCCTGTGGACACCCGACCTCTCCCAGTGTTCCTCCTTCATACACAGCCTCTTCCAGTGTTTCCCAATGTATACACCAGCCTCTCCCAGTGTTACTCCTGCATAAACGCAGCCACTCCCAGCGTTTCTCCTTTACACACAACGTGATAGAGAAACTTTACACCTTCACACCTACCTCTCCCGCTGTCTCTGTTGTATACACACAGCCTCTTGTACACGTCGCCTCTTCCCGTGTCTTCCACTGTATAAACCAACCTCTTCCACTGACTCCCCTGTATATACACAGCCACTGCCAGTGTCCTGCCTGTATACACACAGCTCTCCCAATCTTTCTCCTGTACAAACAGCCTCTTCCAATATCTCCCACACACACACAGCCTGTCCGGTATCTCTCCTGTACACACACAGTATAAAAATATAAACAACTCACTATTTCACTAACTGACTATCTCACTCACTAACTCACTCACTCACAGACTCACACGCTTAAAGGAAAGCGAAATAATTCAGCAAAGTCTTTTGCAAACTGAATCAACCGTAAGTTGTGACTAACACATTGAATCAGCCTTAGACAGGTATTACCTGATTTCTATCACATGTGTTGTAGAAAATCTCTTATTTCCAAGGGAAGAAAAGACGGATTTGGAATCAAACAAACTTATATTGCCAATAATTTCATTTCTATTTGCAGAATAAAAATATTCATCATTAGAATATGAATCACTATCAAAAAACTGCATAAAAAATTATATAAAACTGCAGACAGTATTTTGATTTAAAGCGAGTCCGTCCTCTTCTTAAAGGGGAGACGTGTTTTTTTGGGCGATTAAAAAGTCTTTTTGTAACAACAACAATAATAATTGTCTTTATCCCAGCGCATTATCACGACTTTGAGACTTCTCAATGCGCTTCACAGGACAGTGTAGTGACTGAGTTTTTGCAGGATTCAATGCAAAGTTGTCTTTGTAAAGTGTCCTGTAGCTCAGGGGGTTAGACACACAACCACACACAGTCACACACATATACACACAGAGAGAGAGAGACACGCACACACACACACAGGCACAAACATACACACACAGACAGCGATACACACGAGCATCAACGCAGACAGATACAGAGACAGACAGATGACAGACACAGACACAGACACAGGCACACAGACACAGAAACGCAGACACAAACACACACAGAAACAAACAGACACACACAGGAACACACGACACACACACAAACACTGTCACAGTAATACACACACTGACACACACACAAACACACACACACACAGGCACAGAAAAACACACAGAGACACGCACGCACACACACACACACACACACACACACACACACACACAAACACACGCACACACACAGCCCGGGACAGGCAGAGATCACAGTGTCCACCCGAGTGACCATCACGCAGGAATGGCTCCATTCCACATTTGTTGCCGAGCTCCAGATCAGCTCCAGGAAGACACTGGTCACCTCCCCTCAAGGAGGAGAAGGGAGTTGACTAAACAAGCGCTTTGAGGCGTCTGCAAGACGTGAACAGCGCAATGTCAAATGCCGAATTATTATAAATAGTATAATTACTCAGAACATTGTGAGCAGTTACACACTACAACACCACCCTCTTTATTTGTAATTTGAACCCAGACTAAATCACAGCAAATGATTATTTCCCTCAAATCCACAACAGCCACCTGGAGAGATGCAGAAGCAATGAATTGCTGTCTGTGTCTGACCGCTCTCTGGCGTTAGATGGTGATAACCAGACCAGGGACTGAGCAACACAATTAATGTCATGGGATTCAGTGCGAAACTGTTTATTGACATAAGCACACGAAAATGATTGAAAATGGATTCGTCAATTATAAGCCAACACTGAGGAGAAGCTCCGAACCCCAACCCTCCGTGAAGGAGGAGAAATAAACGCAGTTTGTTTGTTTGTTTGTTGATGAGAAACTGCGAACTAACTCGGAATCTCTGTCTGTTTTGCGGCCTTGGACGTCCAGCCGACATGATAGACTTTTACACCACGTCATGTTGTTTCTCTCTCTCTCTCTAACACTTTCTCTCAGAATTTTACACTCTCTCTCTGTCTCTCACATTCATTATCTAACTCTCTCTGTGTGCCTCTCATACTCTCTCTTTCTCTCTCTCTCACTCTCTCCATTGTAGAGAGGCCGAGTGAATGTGGGAGAGAGACAGTAAAGGAATGAGTGACTCTGTGTGTTCATGGACCTAACGTTTCAGGAGGTTGTCATCCCACAGCCACAGAGCGCTCAGAGAGAGTATCTGTGCTTGTGGTAGGAAGAGGGGACGGGCAGTGCAGAATTCACATGAATGTGTGTCATTATCACACATGTCCGGTCAGGGAGAGGACAACTCTGTGGAGAGGAGCCAATGGCAAACGGATGCTCAGTGGGACACCGAGAAGAGTTTCAATGAAACTGTCATTGGGGACAAATCTTCAAAGGAATAGACAGATGTTTCTCTCGTGGTCACAGAAGATGAGGATGCAGCCAATGCCACAGTATCGAATAAGAGAGCAGAGAAATTGTTTTGGTCAAGAATTACCGAGAGAAATTACTACAAATCAATCGGTGCTCAGGGTAGATAGGAAACCCGGACCGGACGGGATGAATCCTAGTTTACTGAAGGAAATAAGTGGTGAAATATCGGAGGCTCCGGGAAAAATCTCTTAAAGCTCTTTGGACACCAGTGTGCTGCCAGATGTCGGAAGTGATGTAAGTGTTAGTCCACTGTACATAATGCGGCAGAACGATAAAACCGATAATTATAGGCCAGTCAAACTCACTTCATTCCTGGGGAAAACTGTGGAGACTGCAATCCGAGACAAAATACATTTCCACTTAGAAAATTATGGTATAATACAGAACAGTCAATACGGTCTAACAAACTGGATACAGTTTTTTTATGAAGTAACGGAGAGGGTGGAGTAAGGTTCTCCAGTTGGTATTGTTATGCATTTTAAAAATATTAGATCGTATCATATAAGACACTTGTAACCAAAATAGAAGCCCACGATTTTAAAGGGACGGTGGCAGCTTGGAAACAGAATTGTCTCGGTTACTGAAAGCACAGTGTAGAGGTGAACGGTCATTATCATTCCTAATATGAGGACTTGCAGATATGCAAACAATGCTGCAGGTGCAATCTATCGAATGATGTGCACAAATGTGCCATTGTCAGTTGACTTGTGCACACTCTGGTTCAAACTATAAAACCCATTACATTGGCAGCTTTTAGACAGACATTTCGATACCCATTGATGGAAAGGATATACTGGGTGGCAATTTCAGTATGGAGGGAAGTCTGCAGTGGTGTTCTCCATTTGTCTGTACTGGGACCACTGCTAATTCTGATCGATATATATTAAATATTCAAAATATTAACAAAACGGGCTGTGCCTTCCTAGCTGCAGAAGAGGAACGGAACATGGCTGGTAATAACTAATAAATTGAAAGTGCCACGTCGTGTAACC